TTGACCACTTGAAAAAACTTCAAAATGATGATTAATGAATAGGCTAAGTTAGTTGTTGTTCAATGAACAGACTGAATGGGATGAATGACTGTAACAAAACTTATCATTCAAAATTCACACAGATACTTTGAGGTGACTCAACCAACCTTTACAGATCTGTACTACAGATGTGGTTTCATCAATGAAGATAAAAAAATTCTTGTTTTTATATAAAGTTACTGTTTACTGTCTTTTTTTTTTTAAAAAGTAAGAAATAATTGTAAAATTAGACTGATAACTTAAATTACAAAAAAAAAGAAACTAATGACTGTTTAAATTTATTAATGTTTGCTGTTTTGCGCAAAAAATACTTTTTTTTAATTTATGTACTTATTAGGTGATCAATTTAATGTTTTGAAAAACTTTTGAACTATCTTTTCACTGATACAGTCAAAATATATAGATGCAGTTTTTCTTTTTTTGTCGATAAAGTTAAAAGAGAAAGTGATAGCTGTAAATCTATGCATTTAAGAGCTGTTTATTGAACTGATACTGTAGATGAACAATTTCTTTTTTTTTTATTCGCCTTAACCAATAAAATTTGCTGTAGTTTTACTGCTATAAATTTTACGTAAGCTATATATTTTTATCACTGTAGTAAACAGATTAATAATTTTTCACGATTGTCAGATTAAAGGAAATGTGTTGACAAACAAAACAAAAGTTGATTATTCAATTCTTAATAATTAGCATAACTACAAGCTACCGGATTTCTTAAGTTTTTGCTTTTTGTTTTCCTCTTTTCTAAAATTTGACAATTAAATGGCAATGGTCAGTAATGGTGTTCAACAAACACATATAGAGCGAAAAATGCAAGCAAAAATAAACTAAAGTTATAGAACTGAAGAAAAAGATAAATGTCAAGTTATAAGGAAATTTGATTAATTGATAAGCGACAGAAGTGAATAAGAGCAGGGAGAGGGGAGGAGGAAAATGAAAAAGAAGGGGGAGCTTACAGTCAGTGCATTAATTCAGTGTATTTTTCAGATTTTTATACAGTAACAGTTTTACGCCTCAGAATAGATTTCTGATCAACTATTTATTGGAAAAAATTCCTGATCAACGTTACTGGACAGGTTTTTATATTGATGCCAAAAGCAGCAACAACTTTCAAAATATTAACAAATTAATTGGGTTTAATCCATTAAAATCAGCTTCCGCATACAATTCATTGTGGTTGGAAACTCAGGTTCTTTTTTCTCTTTGCTTTTTATTAATACAGCTTAGTGCTGATGTTAAAATTGAACTTTCTTTTTTCGACTCGTATTGTCATGTTGCCTACTGCCTTGAAAAAAAAAAACGAATTTGAGATATATTATTTTTTAAGATTATTAAAAAGTTAATTTCAAAGAATATAGTCAAGCAAAAAATAAAAAAAAAAATAATTTGTTTTAACCGTTTTTATAATTAATTCTTATTTGTAACAATTACAAATGAAAATATGACTTATTTTCGTCATTTATGAAACAAAAAAAATTGGTTACTGGTTACTTTTAGCCTCAACTAATTAATGACAATGATGTTCAATGTATTGTTTTTGTATCCGACTACAGTGACATGGCAACATTCGGATGGAACATTACACAGTGTTCCGAGTCATACCCAACAATTTGTCAAACATTTGCATGCGTTAAAAATAGTTTGTTGCTTTTGCTTATTCCACTTCTTAAATGTTTTTTTTCCCTCTGGTTATATTATTCTGAAATCATACAGTCAACTTTTGGAGTAACAAATTTGATGATTACCAAAAAAAAAAA